ACCAGTGGGATATCAATAAAAATATCCTATCAATAAAAATATCCTATCAATAAAAATATCCTATCAATAAAACCAGCTTCAACCCCCTGCAAAGCTCAAATGAATCCAGTTTAGGAAACAACAGCTTGGTTGCCTGAGTAGAGGATGTGGCTTGTTTGCTTCTTCACATCCTTGGTGTTTCTGCACTTTGTGGTAAAGTTTTCCAGGTGAGGTGACCAAAGTTTGCTCGTGGGCCAACAAGATGCTTCCTTCAGGACTTATTTCACCCCTTCCAACAAGATGGAGCAATGAATTAAGGACATGAGAGGTGAGTGCTTCCTCCTGTGCAGCAAATACACGGGTGGTGATGCTGTTCCTAGAATCCCAGAATTACAGAACTGGCTTGGAAGGGACCTCAAGGATCACCCAGTTCAGCCTCCCTGCCTTGACCAGGGACACCTTCCACTAGCCCAGGTTGCTCCAAGCCCTGTCCAGCCTGGCCTTAGACACTTCCAGGGATGGGGAGTCCACCCCCCCTGCTGTTGTGGCTGTATCAAGTTTTTGATGGAATAAACACGCTTTCCTGCACTTGTCACAGCTCTGTTGTCCCCATGGCCCCTTCAGCAAGGAAATCTTATACCACAGCCCTGATGTTAACACTTTTTTTTTCCCTATTACATATCTTTGAACAGTGCCAACACAATGGAGTCCTGATCCCTGGCTCCAAGACTCAGATATGAAAGATTTTCAGAACTCCCCGGACAGCAAACATAATCATATCAACACAGCTTTAATTAGCAGCAATCTGCACTAATTATTTTTGCCATCAGCCAAATTATAACTGGAAGAAAACAAGTGCTCTTAATAGCCCTGCTAGAAGAAAGCCTGTCCACTGTTCCTGTCAGAGGAATGGGGTCACCACACACCCTCTGATGTTGTGTCAACTGTTCATTAGCCCTGGGAAGCAGAAGTTTCACTCCAAGCACAAAGTCCCAGTGGTTTTCCAAGCTTAGAATTTCCTATCCCACAACTCCTGGAGCGATCCAGTGACTCCCACCTTCCCATTAGGCACAGTAAGTAGCAAGTAAAAGCAACAAACTCCTGTGTAATGGTTCATTAGGAGCTGTAATTACGTTTCCACTTCATCCTTCACACAGTTTGGCTGATATTTCACAGTCCCAGGAAAACCAGGCCCTTCAAACCCGAGTGCTGCACGTTATTCTAGAGCTGCTGGTGGCCAAGGGGAAATCTGGACTGGGATCTTGGCAGGCTTGAGGCCAAGCAAATCCAGAGGAGATCATGGAGATGCTCCAGGGCTGGAGCCCCTCTGCTCTGAGCCAGGCTGGGAGAACTGGGGGGGGTTCGCCTGGGGAAGAGAAGGCTCCAGGGAGACCTGGGAGCCCCTTCCAGGGCCTAAAGGGGCTCCAGGAGAGCTGGAGAGGGATTGGGGACAAGGGATGGAGGGACAGGACACAGAGAATGGCTTCCCACTGCCAAAGGGCAGGGATCAATGGGATATTGGGAAAGAATATTCCCTTTGAAGGTGGTGAGGGGCTGGGATGGAATTCCCAGAGAAGCTGTGGCTGCCCCATCCCTGGAAGTGTCCAAAGCCAGGTTGGAGCAACCTGGGCTAGTGGGAGGTGTAAACTGGGGGGTAGAACTGGATGGGCTTTAAGGTCCCTTCCAACCCAGGCCACTCTGTGATCCCATCAATTGGTATTTTCTGCACTGAACAAGACTTGGAATTTGCTATTAGCAGAGACCATCATCATCAAATTCATGCTGGCCAAGCAGGAAAAAATCAGAGGCAGCAAAGAGGGTGCAGTGTAGAACCAGTATTTCTTTAGCATCAAGATTAAAAACTAGTGTGAAATCACCTCTGGGACACCTCCATGGCCAAGAACACACATGGCTTTACTGGGCTTGTAAAGTGGCCATTGCTGGGGTTGTAACTGAGGACTTGGCAATCCTTCCATAGGGAACAAGATTCTCCCTGGAAATCCCAATTTATGAGTTGCATGACAGGTTGCAAATCTCCTTATCTCCTCTGCAAACCTCACCATGCATTGCATTTTAACACTAGACAGTCCTCAGTTTATAAAAATATGTAAAAATTACCCACCTGCTCTTGAAGACCTTGTTGTTTTTTCCTGTGTAACTCCAGGTAGGAATTTATCCTCTCTGAGGGCAATCCTAAAGTCTGTTTATTTTTTTTCACAAAGTTTTTCTTTGCTCTCCGTGGTCGATCTTTGGACTGAAAACCATCTCCAGATTCATTCTTTTTGGTTTGAGGCCCAAGGGGTTCATTGCTGACCAGGACATTTGGTTCAGGAAAGCTTAAAAACTCTGAACCGAATTCTAAGAATGAATTTTGTGGGTTTGCCTCCTCTTGACTCTTTTCTTCTGAGGAGCCACTGGAATGGAGGTAAAATGACTCTTGGGAAAAGTCCACACTGCTTTCTCCTGCTTGAGGTGCTTTTCCTGCCTTTCTTGTGTTCTTCCAGTTAGGATTGTACCTTAGGCTGGAATATTTGTCCACAGACTGGCTTTTCCTATTTAAAAAACAAACACACAATTATTCTGCACAAACTGTACAAATTCTTTATTATTTCTTTTTGCAGTTGGAGCCAAAAAACATCCTGCAAATATGGCCAATTGACTTAGTGCATAGAATAATTGGGATTGGAATCAGAACAGTTTTATCCAACATTTTTTAGGAGAAAATTTAGGCAGGACCTCCTCTTCATTTTTAATTTGCATTATCAGTGAATAAATTGGTCTAACATCCAGATCACAGTTGAATACAATCATTATCCTAAATTCAGCATAGAGATCACAAGTAGCAGTGGTAGAATCAGCTAAAAGTTGAAGTGATATCTTATATTGCTTCTGTTGTTTCCTTAAAAATCATGTAGCCCACAAAAGGCAGTGTGTGTTTCTCCTTCTTCAGAGACTCTGCTGAGTGAAAGAAAAGTGATATTCCTGGTAAAATCACTCTCTCAAGTGTCCTTTTGAGACTGTCCAAGCAGGAACAGCCTCCAGCTCTGTATTTTTATTTTCTCTTCTCGTTCCTATGAAACACCATGATATTGCAATAAAAAACTTTTCCTGTGAAAGACTTAAAATAACTTTTCATTAAAAGATAAGTGTAGAAAAACACGAACAAGAAAGGGCTGTGAGTTTGCCTATTTTTTCAACAAGTTGGTCAAATCATTGCTCTGAATTGCATTTGCCATGAAGCAAACACAGATGCTCTGCTTTAAAAAAAATCCACAATTGGTTCAATTTATGATTTATGATCTGATCCAGCGGGAGGAAAACCAACAGCAGGAGCCAAATACACAAAAAGTGGCTTCCAGGAGATGTGGAGGAAGCAGCAGGAGTAAGAAATGTGGGAGGAAAAAGCTTTTAAGACTGTTTTTATTTCACTGGACCTGCAGTTTCTTGGGCACTGCCATGATGAGTCTTTCAGAGTGAAACCTGGTTGACTCCTCAGCCCCTATTAAAAGAAATGTCCTGATGTGCTGGATTCTCCAAAATGTGGCCTAGTTAATCCTATTAACATTTCCATAAACCATTTATTCATGTCTCTAAATGATTGATCTGCCTTTGCCTGTATTTCAAGTGGCTCCTGACAACAAAAATAACATTTTCATTTCAGGTAACCACTGGTGTGCCGTGTCCTGGAGAGGAGGTGATTTGATTTACCCCGGGGGAAAATATGATTATTTCCCGTTGCCATGAGCTGCAGGTAAACAGAAATAGGCGACCACATTTGGAAATGAGTACAGAAATATGTGATATAATTGCAGTGATTCAGAGGATAATGCTAAAGAGCCCCATTGTGCTGAAATAGGGGCTCAATTGCGGGCTCCAGCCCGGGTCACTGCACGGGGATAAAATGAGTGTGAAGAGCCCCTTCAGCCCTAATCATCCCCCAGACAAAAAGGGCACCTTTTATTCCTCCCCCCTCCCAGCCCCAACTGGAGAGGAAGGTTAGATGGACTCTGCTCCTCCACAAAAGTGGGATGTGCAGACAACAGATGCAGCGCTTCCTCTTCAAATTCCGGGGTTAGTAATGGATGTAGAAGGGGGTTTTATATGTATATGCTGTGATATTTACTCTGGTTAATGGACTGGGTTGGAGTACTTACTGGGCTAAGTTCAAACAAAATAAAATCAAATTTCCATTTAATGAAGAGCCTCACATTCAGCGCAGTATTCAGTCAAAAAAATTACTAAAAATTAGAGCATGTTTCTAGTACAATTAACATCATTTGCACTCACAATAAAATATTCAATAACTGGCCATTTTGCTTGTTGAGGAGGTGAATAAAAGCATGCTATTAATCATTTAGCCTTCATTTGTTTGTCATTTTATTTTAAGTAGACAATTAAATTGAAACTGCACATTATTATTACTTCGGATTTAATTTAATCCCTCTAAACTTGAGAATTATTCCCAATTCATAGAGGGTTAAACCTTTCATGTGCACGGCAGCAAATTAAATTTCATTTTATGTACCAAGTTAACGCTTTCTAAAGGATGTTTAAAGCTGACAGTAACCCTGGACATTTTTAGATTTACACAGCCATGTAAAAACTGCATTTACTCAAGCTATTAATTTTTGCCTGTGAGTTTTCTAAGAGAAGTGGCCTGGTTTGTTCAGCACTTTTTGTAAGGAATGAGGAGGGCTCAGTACTGAGTCTTGTTTTTCAACTCTCTTGTCTTGCTCTCCAAGTTCTCCTTCCAAGCAGTGACTGGAGAACCATAGAATTATGGAATATCTTGGGTTGGAAGGGATCATAAAGGTCATAAAGTCCAACCCCTGGTGATGTCCCCCAGGACAATGGATGTCCCTCCTGGTTGCTGGGCGACTGTGACTCATATTTAACTTGCCCAAAGGTTTGTGAGGGATGTTTTCTTCTCCATCTTACCCTCCTGGACTGGTCATAGGTTATTTTATGTTTCAGCCAACATAGTAAAAGTTGAGGATATGCTGAGAAATGGGCATAGTAATTATGAATGTAAGATGAAATAGTACATCTTGGGGTGTGACTATGTCTGTAGGTCCTCTAAAACTATGGCTGTAGGTGCTTTAATAGCACTTGGGCAACATAAATTGGTCTTGAAATGCCATTTGTATGTTCTGAGGAATACAAGGTCCAGAGGAGAGGAATGAGGCTGGTGAGGGGACTGGAGCACAAGTGCTGTGAGGAGAGGCTGAGGGAGCTGGGGCTGTTCAGCCTGGAGAAGAGGAGGCTCAGGGGAGACCTCCTCACTCTCTGCAACTCCCTGACAGGAGGGGGGAGCCAGCTGGGGGTTGGTCTCTTTTCCCAGGATACGATCAGCAAGACAAGAGGGCTGGGTCTGAAGCTGTGCCAGGGGAGGTTTAGGTTGGAGATCAGAAAGAATTTCTTTCCAGAGAGGGTGCTCAGCCATTGGAATGGGCTGCCCAGGGAAGTGGTGGATTCTCTGTCCCTGGAGGTTTTTAAGAAGAGACTGGATGTGGCATCAGTGCCATGGGCTGGGAACCACGGCGGGGTTGGATCAAGGGTTGGACTGGATGATCTCAGAGGTCCCTTCCAACCCAGCTGATTCTGTGATTCTACAAAAGCGTCAGAACTGTTCTGCTCACCTACTGAAATCTAAGCCTTACCTTCCATTCTTCTGTGTTCCCTTTGGACTGGTGTCTTCTTCTGAGCTCACCTCCTCCAGGCTGTCCTCTTCCAGGCTGTCATTGTCCAGCTCCTCAGAGCCCAGTCCCAGCAGCTCCTCATTCTCCAGGATCCTCTGCTGGAGCCCCAGCTGGTCCTGCCCCTCCTCAGCAATGCTCTCTGAGTCCGAGTCCTGGGAGTCCTCGGGGCTGGAGGCAGATCCCCCTTCCCTCAAAGTCACCCTTTGCCATTTGGGAGGGTGGAAAACGGGCGGCACGAGGACTTTTGGAGGCACGTGGATTCTATTCACGGTGCGAGAGTGGGGAGAAAACACTGCAGTGTATTTCAGAGCTGAGGGTTTCATGCCGTGGTTTGCACTGCTGGTTTATTTACACCAGCCCTGTCTTTGGAAAACAGAGCAAACAAAAAGGTTGTTGGCCCTGTAATAATGATAATATTTATTAAAAGCTGCAGTTGTGGGTACTATTGTTGGCTAAGGCTCAGAATTTGAGCTTTATTGTTCAACAATTCTTTATCCTCGTCTGTCACACTCATGTTTCATTAAGCAGTTAATATCAAGGTCCCTATGCAGCAACTGCTATGAAATCTACCTTAAACTACTGGTGGTCATAAATAATGCATAACCAGCTTTTGAAAAGGAAAATGAAGCTGAGACAAAGCAATGAGATGTTATCTGTTAACTTTTGAGAGTTCAAATAAATTCTGGATGTTCTCTTTGTTCAACTTGATACCATCTTGACATGACATGCAAAATCAGCAAGGAAGTGTGACAGGGAACAACACAGTGAAAAGAACTGGAGCATTCTAAATTAGGATGAGAGTTTCTTTACATTTGATTAAAGTGTTCAGAAGTTCTTAAGGTAAAGTGTCTGGGAGGGAGGGAAAAGGCTGGTTTATGATAAAAGGTACATTAGTGACAGCACATATGTGGGTAAAGGTGCACAGGGAGTGTCACCTTAGCACGTGGGTGATAAATAATTCCTAATTTTTCAGGTGAGACCAGCAGTGCTAACCCTGACACCTGGACAGACACCTGTGCCCATTGCTCCATCACTCACAGCCCTGAGAGCAAAGCCTGGGGCGGGCAAGGAAGGTGGAATCTCGCTGGGAATTGCCCCTCCCTCCATAGTGTCCATGAGGGAGGTGAGACCCTGCCTGCAACCCCTGTCCCAGGTCCCTCGGGGGCCGAAGCAGGACCTCAGTCCCTGGAGAAAAGCCAGGCCAGGTGTGTGTTCCCCAAGGTGTCCCCAGTCCCATGCCCCATCCCCTATCCCCACACCCCGGTTCCCTTTCCCAATCTCCTGTCCATTGTCCCTGTCCCATTTCCCTGGTCCCATGTCCCATCCCCTGTCCCCACACCCTGGTTCCCTTTCCCAATCCCCCATCCACTGTTCGTGTCCCATTTCCTTGCTCCCTTCACACTGGTCCCTTGTCCTGGTCCCCTCTCCCGTGTTCCCTCACCCCATCCCCTGTCCCACATCCCCATCCCCTCTCCCATGCCCCCTGTCCCTTTCCCCTCTCCCAGTTCCTCATCCTACGTCCCCTCACCCCAGTTCCCCACTCCCAGCCCTGTCTCCCAGTCCCCTGCCCCCGGTCCCCTCACCCCCATCCCCTTTTCCGTGTCCCCTGTCCCCATCCCCTTTTCCGTGTCCCCTGTCCCCATCCCCTTTTCCGTGTCCCCTGTCCCCATCCCCTTTTCCGTGTCCCCTGTCCCCATCCCTTTCCCCACGTCCCTTCACCCACTCCCCTGTCCCACGTCTTCTGTCCCCCATCTCCTCTCTTGGTCCCCTGTCCCCAACCCCTCAGCCCCTGTCCTTGTCCCAGTTCTCCCCCTTCCCTCGTCCCCATCCCCAGTCCCCGTCCCCAGTTCCACGTCCTTTCTCCCTGTCCCGTTCACTCCTGTCCCCTCTCCCTGTCCCTTGTCCCGTTCATTCCCTTCCCCTCTCCCGGTGCCCTGTCCCCATCCCCTCTCCCACGGCTCCCATCCCCTCTCACCCTCTCAGTTCCCGGCTCATTCCCGGTCCCATTCCCGGCCGTTCCCTCCCCGTTGCCATGGTAACCCTGAGGACGCGCTCGGCACGTACCAAGCGCGGGGGGAGCGGGGGGGAGCTCGTCCTTCCCCCCCCCCCATCCCGGGCGGGGCTGTGGTAGCGCCCGGGAGGAGCCGCTTTTCCACCGAAAAATGGGATTATTTCCATCTCCCCCCACTCCCCCCGGGAACCGAAAGCGATGTTTCTCTCATTCGACATTCAAACCCGCTTTGCATCGTTTTTTTTTTTTCTAGCGAGAAATAACGAATTCGAACGACAAACCCGCCGCTTTCTTTTGTCACGTGCGTGTCCTTTATTTCGGGGGTTCGGTTTTACCCTTCTGCGACAGGAAAGGCGATGCTGTGGCACAGCTCTGCGGGTGTCCAGTCCTGGCGAAGCTCCCACCTTGCCTGCTGGCAGGGAAGTGACTCCATTCCTTGGATTTGGTGGAGGGGGTCCCACGTGTAACATTCTGCATCCCCTTCACGTTCATAGAAGCATAAAATCCTAGAATGGTTTGGGTTGGAAGGGACCTTAAAGGACATCCGTTCTCTCTATAACACCCCTGGAATCTTAGGTGATGTGAGAGACTGTAACTGGTGATGTTGTGCACAGCAGGGAGGGATGTTATCCTTGGACAGGTGAGAAATGTTGTCCTTGGACAGGTGAGAAATGTTGTCCTTGGACAGGTGAGGAACTGAGGCAGAAGTCCGAGAGAGGGGGAATAACCTTCTTTTTTTACCCCCCTGCTTGGTTAAATCCAGCTGGAGGTCCATGTCTGGGGGCAGAATGAGATCATACAAGGTTTGCAGCACCTTGGATTTCCTGTGATCACTGGAGCAGTACATTAATATTTTGGTATGGACTGAATATCTTCAGAGGACCCCAGTTGCTGGTGGGATGTGGGATGGGATTGATGAGCTCTATTTCTGGCAGTGGATAATGAAATCCTCTGAGGATTAGAGGTGAACCAGTCCATTGCTGACAGGTTTCCAGGAGCACCAGTCCCATCAACCTGTCCTGCTGTTTAATAAAAGCAGTCCCAGCTGGCTTTTGGATGGAGAGCAGCTGCTGCTGCTCCTGCTCCTTGAAATCATGAGACCTGAGATCTTTGACATGAGGAAAAAGGGGGGTTTCTGCCCATGGTACAGGTTTCCCATCACTATACATCTGTTTCCTTTCCACATGCAAACATTTTCTCACTTATTACAGTGGTTTTGTCACTTGGATTCTTCAGAGTGGTTTCCCCATATCCTTCTGCTACATATTGCAGGTTGGGCTTGTGATTGGCAACTGAAACATAAACACACATTTATTGTTATTATTATTATTATTATTATTATTATTATTATTATTATTATTATTATCTGCAGAAATGCCCCAAAGGAATTAGTTTATGTTGGTTAAAGCTTTTTACCTTGTCCATTCTTCTCATGGCCTGGACTGTCTTCATTAGATCTGGATTTATAACTCTCCAGTGTCTGCTCTGAAACATCATTTTCTGCACAGAAAACAAATGTAAATAAGAGAATGATTTTTTTCCCACGACTCTTTCTCACCCTCTGCCTTGAGCATGAAAATCCTGAGGGCCTGGTTATGAAATGGGGTTTCAATCAACCTGACCAGCTCAGAGACAGGCTTCACACAGCAATTCCATGGTCAACATTCCAGGGCCATCACCCACCTCTCTTCCACACTCCATGAGCTTTTTTCAGCTTCATCAGGAAAAGCAGGACGATGATGAGCAGCACAAAAATCAGGGCAGCCACCAGAATTGGCAGCAAGAGGTCCTTCTCCTTCTTTATGATGCCTTTGGATTTGGGATCTTGCTCTGGAACAGAGGCAGAGGGGTATTAGTGTTGTGAAATGTCCCGTGAGCCTCTGGTAATTAACACAATAACCTGGACCAGGCCAGATGAACATGATAGAGGAGCAGAATTCACCTTATTTGACTTAATTTTAGGATATGAGCTCAATTTTTTTATCATATGAATAAGAAAAACCGATTGAAATCGGTGGACTTGTGCTCTGGCACAACAAACAGCAAAATTTAGCTTTTTTCCCCCCTAGATGATACAAATGGCTGTGTTTCTGTGGTCTCCCCCAAAATTACAAGCGTTACAAACATTACCCTGGTGCACTGACAAAGGGTTTGGAGGGGGAAATGTGGTCAGAGAGACCCAGCCTGGTGTCAGAAAGCTCCTTTCATGTTTGGAAGCTCATTAAGAAGTTCCTACCAGCAGTGAAGGTGGAAGTCCCAGTGGTGTTTTCAGGAGGCACTGGGGCTTCTGTCCTGGGAAGTTCCTCTGTTGTGACATTTCCTTTGGATGTTGTCTCAGTCCCTGGAGGGAAGGAAAGGAGAACAATATTTCTCTGAAGGACCAAGAGATGCTTAAGAAATGTGTATTTTCCCAGCAGCTTTGAAGCACCTGGGACTTCCCCTGACTTAGAGCTCTGTGCTCACTCCCCTGATGCTGGATTTTGTTTAAATCTGAAACTTTATGAGCAGAAAATCCTAAGAGTCCCTTACACATTGTGGAACTCAATGGTTCCCATTTACGGCCAAATTAAAACAAAGCTGAGCTTTGACTCTTTGGTTGTTTGGGGGCTTTCCCTGTCCATCAATTTGCTTCCTTTGCTGGGAAAACCTGGAGTGAGTGTGTAAACTTCTTCTTAAAGGAGATATTTTGGTGTTCATATCCCTGGCTACTCCTTTAGTGTCTTCACAGCCCCCAGTGGTGCAGTCCCAGGGTGACAATCCCTGTCCTTTGCCATCACCCCCCGTGTCTGATGATGTAAATCATACCATTGGGGTCACCATAACCCGAGGAACCTCCCAATTCTTCATCTCCTGATGAAGCTGCTGATCCTTCAGGCCCTGCAGGGACAGAGAGACAAGTTCTGACTTTCTCGTGGACACAGACAATATATCCTTGTGTAATTTGATTTGTAAAGCTAAAATGATGATGATGCACCAAAACTCTGCATTTTCCTCCCTCTCAGGTGGGTGAGCACACCTTGTGAAAGCCACACAATCACAGAGTGGTTTGGGGTTGGAAAGGACCTTAAAAACCAAGTAGTTCCACCCTTAAAAGATTCAGGCTCCCCTTCCATGTGTGTTTATCAACACATGCATGAATTGTTTATCAGGCTGTGGCCGTTCTGTGATGTTTGTAATCAGCAATGTAGCGCTTTTGAACAAAAATAAACAAAGAGTTCGTGCATTTTTAAAGCAGCAATTGACTTTTCACCCCTTGGTGGGGTTTGGCCAACTTCTTTGGGCAGTGGAGCTCTTGATTCTGCTGGAAAGAACTCAGTAAGTGCAGCCTGGTGCAGGCACAGGTTTGTGTTGTTGCACAGTGCCATCTAGTGCAACCCATCCAGAGGATCCCAGCCCGGATCCCACCATCCTGCTGCAATCTAAGGAGAGAGGCTTTGGCTGCCTGCATGGCTGGAAACTGGGAAAGCAAGTGATAAATGCTGTATTTAATGTTCCACAGTTCTTTGCAACGTGGGATGTAAAGCTGTTCTTGCAGCATTTCCACCCTGGTTCGGTAAATTCATGTGACAGAGACCAAACTTACAATCAGATGTGACATCTGGTGGGAGGTTTTGCTGGGTTGGTGTTGGTGCTGAGCTGGAACCTGCTGGACCCTCTGGTGCTGCAGGAGGGCTGGTTGGTTGTTTGGACCCTAAAGGAAGCCCCCCCCAAACACGACAGAAATCAGAAGACACACTTTGCCACTCGAACTGAGCCTGGAAAAGCTAAACCTGCCCTACAAGCTCCGTGCTCTGGGCTGTTTGGGTTCTCTGTCTGATCTGGGGTTACACTCACAGTCCTACTCTCCCACCCTCAGTTTCTCTGCTCTCTGAATATATTTAAGGCTATGAAATGAGGAATAAAATGAAGGCAAAGCACTATTCTGTGGGTGTCTTAGAGCAGAGGCCATGCTGCTGTTCAGACCTGACCCTGAGGAAGAACTCCAAATTCTTTTTGCCCCAGGGAACCTTCTCCTTTAAAAACAGATTCCACACACAGTGCAGCAGACTCTGGGCTTTGGCTTTCCCTGTGTATCTGTGCAATCCTGACCCCCTCAGAGCAGTAGGATGGGAAGGAGCTTGGAAGGAGCTTGGAGTACCCGTCCTGGGGAGGTCCTGGAAGTGGAAAGATGCCATCAGCTTCTCTCCCCTCAGGGCTGGGTGGTGGATGATGCAGCTGGCTGTGGCATTGGGCCCGTAGGAGAGGACTGTCAACGTGCTGGTTGTGCTCCATTTCTTCCCATCAGATCCCAGCTCGTGCTTGGTGTCACCTGAACATTTCAGAAAACATTGAAGTGCTTTCTAGCCGAGGGCAATTGGATGAAAACCCTTCCAGGGCCAATCTGCTTCACCCTGCTGTGCTGAAGCAGCACCTGATTGCTGTGCACCAGTGGTTTGTTGTGCAAATGGATTTCAGGGGAGCCCAAAGGTCATGTTTTCTTCCTCCCAGCTGTTTTAAGTGCAGGCCTGGCTGCGCTTCCTCTGCTCAACCCAAACCCCAAACCTCTGCTCGTGCCGTGACTCACACGGGGAAATTCCCCACACACCATCTGGGGGGAAATGTTCACACATCCACTGGAAATTCTGGGCCTCACCAGACACAATAAATTGCTTTTTGTGGGACACTGGGGAGTCTCAGTGTCAGAGAATGTTCCTAGATGCTTTTCAGTGGTGCCCAGTGGCAGGATGAGGAGCAATGGCCATAAACTAAACACAAGTTCCATCTCAACAGGAGGAAGAACTTCTTTCCATGGAGGTGGCAGAGCCTGGAACAGCTGCCCAGGGAGGGTGTGGAGTCTCCCTCTCTGGAGATATCCCAAACCCACCCAGATGTGTCCCTGTGTCACCTGCCCCAGGTGACCCTGCCTTGGCCTGGATGATCTCCAGAGGTCCCTTCCCAGCCCAGCTATTCTGGGATTCTCTGTGCTCTGCAGCACAACTGAGATCAAGAAGATTTTCAATTCTATGTGACACCCAAGGGCGTTGAATTTGTGTTTTAGCAGCTGTGCATTTGTTACCCCAACCACAAAAATAAAAAACCCCCGATTTTTGTGCAATATTTGTGCACATCGAGAAACATGCACAGTTAATGTTGATGGGCAATAGTTACATTTGTACTAAATAAATATTTCTGTAACAGTTCTCCATCATCCCTGCAGTGCAGGTTTGACTTTTCTCCTTTTCCAGCTGGGGGAAGTCAAACACAAAGATTCATTGCCTTGCCAGAATGAATTAGGGAGAGCTGTGGAACCTGTCTGATGTAGCTCCTACTCCTCCAGGTAATACTGACTGTATTTATATGATTTGGAAAAAGAAACGTGTATTTCATGTGACACAGAGGTGTGTTTGAATAGCCCTGGTGGAGAGGGAGGTATTTTAGATGTGGTGGCACAGTAATTTCCACTGTCTGTTTATAATGTGGAGGTTCTGATGGTTTCCCTTATCCCTTAAATGAAAGAAATTCCTTCTTTCCAAATCAACTTCTGCAGATAATTCACTGTATCACTCAGACCAGTATTTCCCAACCCTCTTTTCCATCCCCAGCAGGATCATGGAAGAGCTCCAAAGGCTTTCAGAGTGGTTTTTGCTGGGAAAGAAATAATCTTTGTCAGCAACAGCTCAGTAATTACAGCTGGTTTGCCCCTGCTGAGCCCTGGTGGAACTCAGGTGATGCTGGTAATTAAGATTTATTAGCTGTTTTCTGATTGTTATAAATATTTACAGTAAGTGATTAAAGCTGAGGATGGAAGGGAGAAGAAGGAGAGGCACTCCAGGCCTTCAAGGAGGAAGAGCACAACTGTTAAAGTAAGTGGAGAAATGCTTTGTTGGATTTATGGAGGTGTTTACTGTCTGTGTTGTGATGCCACAAATAATTCACTTTATCAGGCCAGAACTGAGGTTGTTTCTGATTTGAGGAAACCCCTGGTTTTAGAAAAGCACTGTGAAAAACATACATAAAAACTCAGGGGTGGCGTGTTGCTTCCCTGAGCACTTTATTTGCATTAATGCCTTTGTATTTGGCAGCCTGGGTTTTTTTATTCACTCCTGATTTCTCTCTATGTTCAGGCCAGCACACTTCTCTGTTGTTTTCTTGAGCCTTAGTTACAAAATA